ACAGACGTAGGATGACACGAAAATGCTACCCGGACAGTGTAAAAAAATAATATGTGGAACTGGTCGAACTGGACGGCAGTCTAAGCAGTTGCCCCTCCAAGTCGTTTGGACTAAAAAAAAAGAAGAAAAATTCAAAATGTCAGTAACAGAAAAGCCAGACACTTATTAAAGACGCTGACATTCATTTCGTGGCTTGCACAAGCCACACTTAGAGACAATGATGAAAGAAAGCAAACTCCTTCGAAAAACTTGTATGGGTGCGACCAACAAGCTTCGTCGTTTGCCGCAATCTGCTTGTTCACGTACTGTCTATCTGCTTATTCGACACGCGCACCCGATGAAAACACGTGTCCATGAGACGAGATTTTGAACGAGATTCCTCCCGTGGACTCATGGCCATCTGCTCACTACTGTTGTCCCCAGCGACTGCCGGTACATGCTTGGACGTGCCAGAAATTTCATGAGGACTTCCTCTGAATGAAGCGTGCAGTTGAAGTGGCTGAGAATCACACGGCTGACACTTAAAAAGTCTGAACTGTTAGTCCTTTAACGTGATTTTTGTTTTTTGATATACGTGATTTAACGTGATTTTTGTTTTATGATATATGATTTTTTTTAACGTGATTTTTGTTTTGAATTTTTGTTTTTAAAACATGTTTTTTAACATGTTTTTAAAAACATTTTTTTAAACGAGCTCAATTTTTTACACCCGAACACGAGAAAAGAATAATCGCAGCGCAAACATACACATTGTATAGGGATGCAAAGCACGTTGGGTATCAATGTCCTACCTTAACCTCAGAGTAAATATATTGACCCAAAAGGAAGACAGGGACAGTCGGACAGCTCAGGTGATGACCACTGCATCTGTTTTTTATGTCATTCAACTGTGTCCAGCATTGCAGCTACAGGTGTTGAGAGTGTATATCAGGTACTCTAATAGAAACTTGAGCCGTGGTGGCGATTCCGTGATGTGGCATGCCATTTAGTTGAGCCAGGCACAAAAGGCTGTACGCGTGTGGACCAGAAGGACAGCAAAGAACACGCAGGCGCTTATGGAACATCTCTGATTTTTACGTCTGGATTTTGCAACGGCGAGAACATTTTTTTACTTTGGATATGGCTCGTTTTAGGCCATTATCATGATCTGGAAGGTCACCTATGACCTTGAAATGAAAATAGATGCATTTAAAAAGCTTCGATGACGAACTCTGCACTGGTCTTTATTCCGATGTGTAAATTTTCTTGGTTCAAATGTTAGTAAGGGGCCTGTTAGGCCCTCCCTTGTCGAGTAATGGTGTAAAGCTGGGCCCATCTGGCGAGGATTTATTAGCGTGAGTCTCGCGGTATTACATAAACGACAAAAGATGGGGTGGAGGAGGCATTTTATCAGGCCTTGAAGCAGTCCTGAACGCTTTGTCTTTGAAAATGAGCATTAAATATGTAACGTTACGTGAACATTAACTAAGCAAAAGTCGCGTCCCTCCTCACACATGTACTCAAAGGATTCAGCGGGACCCACTCGTTCCATGGTGTCTCTCAGCACGCTCAGTTCCTACAGGTTCATCTGAAATTTACTTGATTACGTAGCATACACAAAGTAACAAACCGCTTTTGTCCACTATAATATCTAGATGGCCCTTTTCTACTTGGGAATAATTTTCTGCCTGATCGTAATGTTCTTTCAGGTTGAACATGGATCCAGTCCATAGGTATTGTGTGATATGCATTTGACTAAAATCCCAAACCCTCATCTGTGAACATGGTATGCTGAGTCTCACCTCAGCTGATCGGCTCAAGTTTCTAGCTCGTGGTTGGCAACCGCCTCACAAACTGCCCGTTATTTCCCACGTCATCCATCCGCCCAGCTGCTGTGCCGGAGCCTCCACCCTTCCGTAAGACCCACAAATTTGAGCACCTGCTTTGAGTTCACGCCCGAAGGTTAGGCGTCAGCCATCGCGGATCGGTGTCTCTCCCCTCCCGTCGCCCGGCCGGTCGACCAACCCCGCTGGGATCCACCGACTAGCTTCGCTTCGGCCTGGGGCGAACGCCATAAAGGCGCCCGTGCGGTGACGACGGCCGTTAGTGCTACCCGGTCTTCCGGAACGCCATGAGGCTGGTGAGTGTGCCTGCGTTCTCTCCTTCCGCGGGGCTCCGTAGCACGTCCACCAGGGTCATACTAGCGGCGTGTTTGGAGGCAGTGACGCTGGATGGGCTCGATGTGCATGTATGCGTATCTGTATACCTGATATACCTGATCAGTATATATGATATATGATATATGATCAGTGTATATGATACCCGTGTACCTGATCAGTATATGTTCAAGCATTCAAGCTTTGCTAAATACAAGGGTAAATATAAATTATATGTTTTCACGAGTGACCACAACGCGAAACTTTCAAAAGCTTTTCAAAGAGTTTTCAGCGACTATTTCTAGCGAGGATCTTTAGTGAGCAGTTTTCGGCTTGTAATGTTTTGAAAATATTTATTAAAGAAACAGGTTTGCCAAGACGTATAGATAACACAATTTCGATATGCTGACTATGAGCAGGGACATGCCTATACATGCAGAAACTTTTTTGAGAACATTCAGTGGCGTGTCTGTCGCCGACGCAACAAAACAAAGACATCCATCATGGTCGCGTCCAACACGAAATTATACCCCCCCCCCCCCTGCTCCACAATGTAAACAACAATGACTTGAGCGGCATCCAACACCCTCGACCAATTCACAAGTCTCATTACCAGGCCTGACATTATCCCGGAGTTTGGGTGAACTAGAGGCATGGATTGAAGAAATAAGTGTATGTAAAAAGTCCCAAATCGCATCATTAACTTAACTTATTCTTAGTTCGATAAACGTGTTTTAGCTATTGAATATCCTTAAAACTTACATTAAAACAATCAATTCATTGTTCAAGTGGTTAGCATTAGCGTGACTTGATCAGATACTTTTAAAACTTATTCATCCTCCATAAAACTTAACAAATATTTCATGGCTTAAGTACTCAGCATAAACTTCACTTCATAAAATATTTCCAAAAACTTTTAAAACCGTTTGGCTCATCATTCCGTCGTGGAACCGGCTGAAGTGCCTTATAATGCTAAAAGTCATCATAATATTTGTTATGAGACGTTTGGATGCCTCAGCCGCTTATTATGTAGCGGATATTGCGGTTACAGTGTTAAATAAAGTAGCATGGTAGCCTGATCACCATGGTGATAACACCTACACTTTGGTCCTGATTCCATGGCACCAGTTTAGCTGATCTTGGGTTGTTTCCGACAGATGCCTTTTTATTTGTGTTTCGTGTTTTAAGTTGTATTCCTTTCTGTGTAGAATTTCAATTTGAGTTGTAGAGATGCTGAAGCGATTAGAATATACACAATGCGCGATATTATTGGTGTAAACGATGAGCTCATTTTTGTGACGGTTAAGCCACGTTAGTTTGCTTCATGCTGTCATAATTTTTTAGGTGGGGACCTAATTTGGTATCAAATCTAAAATACAGGAAGCTATGATAAAAATTGAAAATGTCATGGAATGTCGTCGGGTATGTCAAAACAGCTTGTGAATCTTAATCCGAAATTATAGCCGGCTATTTAGAAAGACTTGACGACAACCGATTGTTATTGCTTCTGTTTATGTTTATGTTTCATAGTCTCTTTTCGTTTTTTCGGAGTTGGTACCAAATCAGTGCCCTGACTAATAATGGGGCTATCATGTTCATAATCGCAATTGCCGATTTATTACCCCACGAAATACGTATTATGAACATCGTTGTCATGGCAGGGTCAAGAATGATAGAATAAAGAAATAATAAACATGTAATGATATCTAAGCCAATGTGAAACGTGAATTCATCTTTGTGCAAACATCTAGTCAACCTGGCGCAGCACGTAAGCTTTGGTAGAAGTCTCGCGGATGTTTAAAACTTGTCATGCAGCTTGATATAAGAACGTACATTTCAACTTGATGGACCGCACCACTTGGAGTGCAAGTCCATAGCTAACCATCTAACTCACGTCCATAACCACCCATCCAACCAACGTCCATAACCACTCATCCAACTCACGTTCGTAACCACTCATGTAACTTACGTTCATAACCACCCATCTCATTCATGTCCACGACCACCCATCCAACTCACATCCATAACCACCAACCCAAAGTATGCTAACTTAAGGCCCGAATCTCGTAGCCCACCAATAACTAAAGCCACCTTATTATGCGTAAATGTACGTCAGTATTTATATTTGACATGGTTATACATTAACTAGGGTTACCGATTACGCAGAAATACGTAAACGGGAAGCCATCGAGATCCCGCATTTGCCTGTTTTACGTTAACAACTAGCATGTGCCAATCACAGCACTTCGTAGCCCGGTGCCAATGTCGCATATGTGTCTAAGTATGAAGCGGTCTAAATGCCTAGGAAACAAATACAGTGCCGACCTTGTATGACTTAATTGAGCGAGTTCAACTGGTCTCTTCAAAGCATGATCTCGATCGATAACAAATGGCTAGTCTGACGTGGCGGAATGTTTTATTTGACAGGTTCAGAACATGTGCTGAAATTCCTACGGTGTGGTTGAAAATAGGCTCGCCTTTATATATATATATATATATATATATATATATATATATATATATATACACGCTTCACACATCAGCTGTGAGTTGTGTTACGTGCTTCCTTTCTTGTTCGTACATTGAAGTCCGTTATGGTTAGCTCTACTTGCGAAGTTGTGGTCTCCAAGATTGCGGTGGGTTTGACTAAACGAAGAAGCAATTGGATGGAGCGTATGCTTGCGTTGAGGGAACTAGGTGGTGTGATGTGCAAGAACCATTCCATTCATCCGAAAGGTTACGTGTTTTAGATGTTTTACGCGGTAGCACGCCTTACTAGCATTTGTAAACACTAAGCCACTTTGCCTCCATGCCTCCTTTCGTTGAGTTCAGGTCCTTTTCCAAGAAGGCGTATTAGCTGCAAAAAAGGACATGACACTCTAAAAGTTTGGAAAAAATCGACTAGGCATTAAATGAATTGAACAAACTTGCATATTGTCACATGTTAAAGCTTAGGCATGCCCAAAACAAGGAAAAGGTCATAAATGCAAACGTACTTTACCCCACTACAAGTGTTTTAAGCTATTGAGTTCTGCTGGTGCATGTCCTTTTTACTTTCTACAGTTATACATGAGGTGCGAATTTGATGGGCTCCCAATGCCACCTTTGACAATGACGTTCTTTCGTGCTTTGGCATGTCATCAATCCGCAATGAAATACCCAGGGTGTCAATGCGTCACGGGTACTACAAATTATACTGAACATTAATCCGAAAATAAGAAATGTATTTCCAAGGCACGGCAAAAAGAATATTCAAACGCTTCCTTATCCTCACTATCAAATCATGTTTTTTAGCAACCTTCTTTTACCTCTGAAAATGCTGGAAGAATATTTATGTCGCAAGCAGTTTCAACACCTTCTTGTTAGCTTATAGGAATGTTTTGAGCTGCTGATAAATTTTGACGAGATATTGCTGAAGTTAAACCAATATGCATGAAGTATGCGAGTGCGATTTTAAGGCACCGTCTGTGTTTGTGCAGGATGGTTGGACACATTTTAAACACCTTTAACTATGGGAACAACTGAATCATGAAAATTCAAAGCCGTGAAAGATTTCATGCTTGCTGGAATATATTTGTCAGGTTTGCCTCATGTGCGAATGCTCATGATCAGCTGTCGTACAACAGACGTAAATTGCGCAGCACTCGGTGGGCTCGTCCCTCAAGGTGCTTCTGAAAGGAGGCCGCTGTGTCTGACTTTTAATTAATCTTACATTATCTTTCAGGCTTAGCCACCAGTTGCAAAATCCTTTTTATTATCCATTTTTGATATTCATATGAAATTATTCGGATGTGGTTGTTCGGTGAATGATCAGCAGCACCCCGTTCACCGACCTCAAGTTGTTATTTACCCATAACAATTCCAACCGCCATACAGAGCTTGGTGTCGTTTCGAAATGGGGAACTGATGCAACGCATGTGGAAGTCGTTGGGTACATTTGAAACGGTGGAGCGATAAGCTGGGCGCATGGTCCCGGCATGAGCCGTGACCAAAATAATAGATGAACATCTCTCAGCAGCCAAGGTCGCCAGCGGTGGTTCACCTTCCGCCATAGCCGACTGCCTAGCAACCAAATAGGTCTTCAAAGGCTGATAGCGACGGACGTCGGCTGGCAATGTGACAGATAGTCACTTAAACCGAAACAGATTAGTCTGATACGCGCCGGATTTATTCGCAACGTTGTATGAGGCTGATGAGATAAAGCCCGGGTATGTTTCAGCACAGTGGCGAAAAATACGCGAACACTTAACTGTCGCGCTTCCCAGCTCTGTGCTGTTGGTGGAATCAAAATCGCGAGCAACGAATCATTAAGTCGCTTACTCCATGACCAATCCCACCATCTAACACATTGGCTCCCCTATCCACCCCCTCAGACCTGATGTTCCCTCCTGGACAGGTTTCTCTCGGCCGTGGCGTCTTGTTCCGGGTTGGCCCTGCTCGCTCGCAGTTTTTGTTGGCCGGCTCTCCGGCCTGTCTGGCCACGTCCCGGCACGAGGCGCGGACGCCGCCGGCGCTCAGGGACGAGTTTTAAGGTCAAACACCTGTCTCGGGGTCCATGACTCGTGCGGGGCGGAGCGGCGCGCGGCCCGCACCGCCGCAGGCGGAACGCCGAGGTGCGCACGGTTCGGTCAGACCCGCCCAAGTTCCGCAGTCCCGGGCTCTCGAGATGCCACTTGCGTTGTCGGCTTTTCATGTAATTCAGGTGCAGAAATTCTTATTTAATTTGACATCCCGATGTTGTTACGTTCTCGTTCAATGCTCCTCATGTTATTGTAATTTAGGGTTATCTGGCCGACAAGCCGCCAAATGACCGTGCGCAGCTCGTGCAGCGGTGCACTGGAAGGCACGATGGTGCCGGTGTACTGGTGCGGGTACGTATGCGGTAGTCATTACCCGGACGAGTCGCGGCCAGGCAACACGGGCAGGTAAGCGGGACCACGACACCCTCGCTCAGGCGATGCCCAACCTCACAGCTCCGCCACTTGAGGTCCGCGCCGCGGCACTGCCGGTCGATGACGTTCGGTGCATCTTCACCTGTCGGCAGCCGGGCGGGACGAGCCGTACGGCCGGGTTGTTTAAACAGCAGGGACCAGCGGGATCCGCTGATTGATGGACGACAGGCGATAAAATGTGTTCGGTCATCGCTCCGTTTCTCGTCTCGTTGGGAGTCCGACACGCTCCATTATCGCTGGGAATCTGGCGGCGCTCCATAATCTGGAGGTCATCGTCCGACGCCGCCATCCACCCCGGAAGAGCGCCGATCAAGGGCCGTGTGGGGGCTCCACTGCTCACTTCTGCTGCTCCTCGCTGGCATCCCATTAGGTATACGGGGCTTTGAATCAATAAATGTGTTTTGTGGCCAAGTGTGCTTATCAGACTGTTTGATCATATTTTCTTGAGACCTCTTGAGACAATGTTTTAGATGTAGATGTGTAAAAAAATAACTACTCGCTTAATGTTTGGTCAGTATTGAAGTACAGTGTGTAATCAATTTAGAAAAGCACGTAGCCTAAACTTTGAACGTTTTGACATAATAATAGCGACGCTGATCTCTGATGATGATGAGTTTGGTGTCCCCGTATAAATGAACCGCGAACGCGGTTTTCACCCTTACCGAGCTGCCACCCCGGGTTGAAGGGTACTGGCCGGCGGCGGTGCAGGAGGGTCATTAGCATGCATTGCTGGCGGGTCGGGAGGCGACGCCCCGCCTGCACCCGTCGACTTTGGATGGGTGAGCGGGCGCGGCTGATTTACACCCGTGTCCGCGACTGCCGGGGCTGCTCTGCACTCTCACTAGAGCCGAGGATTCGCCACACTTTGAGATTCAACTCCTAGCATAGGTGGAATGAGGTCTGGAGGCTTGAATACATTCGAAGGGGTTCGAAGCTTGAAATGTGTACAAGGCTGCGTCCGCTTAGATGCGTTATGATATGATAGTATGCATAATGTATAATGCATTGGAGTGTATATACATATAATACAATATGATATGACACAATAAAATATGATATGACATAAATTAGTACGTTATGTACGTCGCAAGTATCTCCCGAAACGTACAAGGCAAAAAGGCCATGCAAATCAGTCAGTAATTATTGCAACGGAAAAATCTTCAATTTTCTTATCAGACACAGTTTTGGCGGAGCCGACAAGTTCAAGTGCACCAATGTAGTGCATCAACTCAAATGTAATCTCGAAGGCCGCGAACTTCGTTTCATGCACTGCCTGGTGTAACCATAACGCCACGCTCCCGACGCCTGCCAGTGCACGCACGCGACGGGGCACCTCTGGAGCAAATGTGACACGAACATGACAGGACATTGACACAACAACTGGCGGACACCATTCATGGCTTTCAGACATGCAAAGACGGGACACACGTGCAAATTTTGGTAAGCGTATATATATATATATATATATATATATATATATGTGTGTGTGTGTGTGTGTGTGTATATAGGTATAGGTATAAAAACGACATGCTACCTCTATTAGCATGTGAGTGTATGAATGTCAATTGGGCCCAAATTATTTCTAATCAAAATTGGTCATAATACGAGCCACGAAGGCATGATTCTATCCAGATGATGGCCGCCGGAACTTGCGCCGTAGTATTGATTATGGTCTATACATTTTATTCTTTTGTCGGAATCTGGGAAGATTTGATAACGATTTAAGTTCTACATACCTGTGAGAAGTACGTTTTCGTATCCCCGATCAGGCGTAGTGCTCATATGATGTGCTCATATGCGTAAGGAGAAAAGGCTTATCTTCAAATCTAGCTTTGGTGAGGCCGCATCTTTAGAAACTGAGTGCTGTAGATCATGCAACTCTCATTTAGCGCGACTCACAGAATTGCATGTTGTGGGTAGCAATATTACATTTATACCTTAAGATTGAGCACCGTGACAGGAGTGTAGGATACCTAAGAGAATACCTGTAGGATACCTAACTCTTTCCATTTCCGCATGTGAATCTGTAATATAGCCTGCGCTGAATGTTGGAGACGGCTTAAGATTCCATTGGCGATAACCCGCAAGTTATGTGGTCAGCGACTGCCTACCAGCTCTGCAACGGCCTTTGGTCTGGGTTTGGATTTATTACCTTCGTGGTGCCTTCGTTTGCACGTCGAGACCGGTTCTTCTGTCGAGAACAGACAGTTGACTTATGTCATCTGCCAGCATGAATCCCTATCTTCGGCGCTTGGAACCGAGGTGGCCATCCACCAGCCTGGTCCTGATTGGGATATTGGGATTTGGATAATAGCTCTATACCAAGTCAAGTCGGCAGGACCGGTGCACATAACCCGCCCGCTGCGTATCTGGTCCTCCGTGGTCCGCTGTGTTCGTGGCTGGAGCGGTAGTGTACCGCTGGTGCTGCCCGGTCTACCGCCGGTGCGGTACTCGTGTCCGCGGCACCCGTGGCAGCGGGCGACGGGTACCTTACCCCTCCGTGGTCCGCTGCGTTCGTGGCTGGAGCGGTAGTGTACCGCTGGTGCTGCCCGGTCTACCGCCGGTGCGGTACTCGTGTCCGCGGCACCCGTGGCAGCGGGCGACGGGTACCTTACCCCTCCGTGGTCCGCTGCGTTCGTGGCTGGAGCGGTAGTGTACCGCTGGTGCCGCCTGGTCTACCGCCGGTGCGGTACTCGTGTCCGCGGCACCCGTGGCGGCGGGCGACGGGTGCCTGACCACGGAACCGGCGGCTGCTGCGGCCGGCGGCGGCTCCCCGGGCATTGCCAGTGTAACAGGCAGGATGGCAGTGACAGGCACGTCATTACTGGGGTGTTTGACGGATCGCGGGGTGCAGAAAACAGCGGCCGCGTACTGGCAGCGGTCCTGTCGCATGTGTGACTGTTCTTCGGCATTGGAAGTGTTCTCTGCAAAGGTGATGGTTCATACGCGTCATGGTCATGGTCATGCGTCATGCGTCATGGTCTCCGGTGTTGAGAAAGGCATAGTGCCTACGTGGCGGGTTCCACGGTGTTGACAGCGTTTCACGGCGTGCGTGACAGATCCCATTTCTGTTGACAGGTCTTCGTTCTGCTGGCGCTGGCCGTCACTGCGCTCCCCTCCCCCGTGTGGGGGGAGGGGGCGCAGGTGGATGGCTTGAACTTCTCCTTCGAGGACGACAGCGAGAAAGAGAAGGAAGTGATCCTGCTGGATATAGGCGCCGAGAAAAGATTCGACTTCAGGTTCGACAATAAAGACGGTACGACACTGCATTCAGAGCACTAAACCCTCGGCCACAAAATGTTCCATTTATACTTCCGTCCATGATATCTATCCGGCGAGAGGGATAATCCTCGGGTTGCGCTATAGCAGTCGAAAGTTTCTTACCTTAGAAAGTCCCTTTTGGAGGTCGTGCAATTTTGAAATGGACTTGAGCCCTCGTTTTCGTTTTGTGCTGGTAGACGCAACATTGACATGGTCCGAGTGGCCAGTGCACAGTTGTTGTGCACTCACTCGAGTGGAACGTGTTTGCTTTTGAGCGATTCCAAACACAACCGGGACGCAGTGTCCTTGAAAACATCCGATTATTTCTAAGCAGTGACGCCGCCTTATGTCAGCTGATCGCTGCCTCAGACCAGCAGTGAAGTCGTTGCGTTGAAAATTTTCTCACTTGCTTGGGCGCCTGTGAAAACTTTGCCATTCATCTACGCAGTGTGCATGCACATTTTCCCCTGTGACCTCTCAGATTCGCCAGTCAGCCCCTCCATTGGCGCCGGTACACACGTGGCACCGCTCCGTACCTCCCCGAGCCCGTACCAGTAGGTCCACCTCACCACGCACGACCCTCCGGCGCCCCAGGCACGTACCAGCACGGCTACCAGTCCGGGCGGCTCGGCGACGACGGCGGCTACAACTTCAAGCACGAGTACAAACAGGAGGACGGGGTGCGGTTCGGCCAGTACGGCTACGAGCTGCCCGACGGCACCAACCAGGTGAGACGAGTCCTGTCCTCTGATTGGTCCTCCAATGTTCGCGTCAGCGGGTCCCAGCAGTGCGCGCTCACCAATTCGAAATGTTTTCGGCACTCCAGTCAGCAACCAGCGGTTGGAACACACCAGGCGCTGCGACGAATGTGCTTGCTTTTTTGCTCATCTGATTGGAGCTCCAGGATGCCCCAGCTCGCACGATTTGATTGAATGCACTGAATCATGTCAGATATTCCTTTTGGCTGTTGGATGCCGCGCTCACCGGGACTGCTGTGTCTGTCTTGCAATAGCATTTGCTATTTACAGATGGTTTCATAGTGCAGGTGTCAGAAGGTGTTTTTTCGGATGTTTTGGTCGCGGCGCTGGCACCGGGGTCACGATTGTCGGCCTCAGCCGATTTGCTCGCAGAGGGAGGTCTCCGCACCGTCATCCTTGGATGGCTCGCGTGCACCGTACTGACTGTGCGCCCCATGACCCCGTCTCGGTTCGGAGCCGAGCCTTCAGACCGGTCTTACAGCGGTCCTGAACCCGGTGACCCTCGTTTGGTGTCGTCTACGACCGCAGAGTTAATTGGGCGACACCCGGCCGTGCTGCTGCCTGAACCGATCTGGGAAGGACTTGGCAAGGAGAAATAGTGCGGTAATCTTGCAGTATGAGACGTTCGATGGCACCTACCTTTTTCATTGACTAGACTCGAGGTGGAAGTCCTCCCCTCTCCCTTCCTCCCTGCTGCAATTTATGTTGCTCTCTTGCTGAGCTGCGTGCGCCGTCCTTTTCAGACAGTCAACTACGTGGCCGATGCCAACGGCTACCGCGTGCTGGCCGAGGGCCAGAAGTACGTCCCAGTCAGCGAGCGCGAGCTGGAGCGGCGGCGCGGTATCCTCGAGGACATCCAGGCCGAAGAGGAGGAGCAGGAGCCGCTTAATCTGGACCTCACTCTCCTGGAACGCATCGCGTGAGTCTCGCAACCGAATTGGAGCACGATGTTCACCAGTCCACACCCGTGGAGTCAGTTTGTGCATCGGGTGTAGAGGATTACCACATGTATGCAGTGTACCGCAACATGCATTCAATCACAGCACTCCCACCCGCAACAAGCTGGTATTAGCTCGTACCATTTTGCATAAGGCGAGAGTAATACACAATGCCGGCACGCTGCACCATGTCGACACGCGTCGTCAGCACGCCGCACCACGTCAACACGTGCCGTCACCAGGCTGCACACCAGCCCAAGTGTCGCTGGGATCTGCCGCTCACTGGTCGGTGCGGTGCCTCGCAGTGACCCGGCCGAGGTGGAGCTGGAGTCGGATCCGGCCGTGGCACTGTCGGCCGCCAAACCGCTGCAGCCGCACTCGCAGCTCGACCCCGACACGAACGCCTTCCAGTTCGGCTTCCGCTCGGCCTCCGACGACGGCGTGCTGTACCGGCACGAGGAGCGCGACGAGGAGGGCGTGGTGTCCGGCCAGTACGGCTACCGCCCCGCCGGCGGCGCGCCGTGCTTGTCTCGTACGTGTCCGACGCCTTCGGGTTTACCGCGTGGTGGACCCGGCGGCGCCCGTTGCCGTCGTGAGCCAGCAGCAGGCGCAGGAGCAGCTGGGCAGAACTGGCCGAGGGCTCCGGCTTGGCGACGGAGGAGACCGCGCCCGCCGCAGCAGAGGAGGAGGAGGAGGAGGAGGAGGAGGAGGAGATGAAGCCCACACCGGAGGGCGGTGTGCTGCCGGTGCCCCGGCCGGTGGCCGCACCTGAATTGGAGGCCCAGTCTCAGGGTCAGGCTCAGCCGGAGCAGCAGCCCCAGGCGACGCTAGCCGCCACAGGTGGCGCCACTGCCGCAGCCGACGGGGTGGTCCTGGAGGCCGCCGATGGCGCCACCGCCGCGGCCGACGGCGTGGTCGTGAAGGCCGCAGGTGGCGCCACCGTCGACTCTGTGAGGCCCTACTTCCGTCCGCACGTGCCCCAGCTCTCGGCCGTGCTGCCGTACGGCGCCCTCGTCCCCTACGCCGCCGTCCCGTACGCGGCCGTGCGCAGTCCCGCTGCGCATGTTCAGCAGCGCCCGCGACCGGTCCTGTACCAGCGGCCGCTGCCGTACCCGGTGTACCGGTACCCGCAGTATCGGGCTGCGGCCGAGGGTGCGCACTGACGACCGTCCTTGTGACCGACTCCATAAGCTTGTTATGACCCCTGGCTGCCGACGGGGGCGCCTCGTTCACCGCCGGCCGCCAGGGGTCAGCGTTGTTATTGCTCATAACAGTTCCCGCAGAAATAAGCCAGAATAAAAAAATAAGTCGGTGATGTAGGATGAGGGTGATATTAAGCAGGTGTGCAAAGTCTGTGTATTTGATTACGCAGAATATTATCAGGGCATTACGCGCACGGTTCGGCCATTGGTCATTTGTATCTCTTGTTTGTAACGACGCATGTATGCATTTGAATGTAACAGGATATGTATAGATAAAGTCTTCATTTAGCATGATGTCTGATAACAGATGGTGAACCTGTCATAAATATTTACACTCAGTTAGCAGAAAAGAAGGTGTTATCAGAAGCTTTCACTTCATAAAGCCCACACTATCTTTTGTGTGACGCAAATGTCATTGCGATCCAATGACAGTCAGAGCCAAAAAAGCTAACTCTGGTGACTCAAACGGGACGGTGCAAATCTAAAGCCACTCTCGAATCACAGCGCAAAGATTTACGTATGCTGTGACGAGGACTCCGCTTTCTTAACGTGGCCCGCGTATCATGGTACATGCACCTTGAAGCCTGAGACCGAAGGTGCTTATCTATGGAACTTGGCTGCCGCTGACGACTGTTTCTCTGACGTCTGAAAACGGTATCCTAAAAGGGCGATGGTGGCCAAAAGACCGAGAATGGCCACAAGTGACTGAGTGGCGAGAACGGCTCCAAAAATGGCCATTTAATTTGAGAACAGTTTTATTTGGTAGCATCTAGTGTGCTGCCTCCCATCCCCTCCCGACCATTCACTTGGTGAAATGCTTGGATTGCTCACGATTTTGCCATGCTGCCAATTTTGGCAGCTCAAAACAACGTAGTTTTCACTCATGCGTTTAAGATTTGGAAGAGCTAAATATACTGCTTACTTAGCAGGTGTTCCAAAAAACCCTTGATTGGGCGTCGGGGGGGGGGGGGGCACATAGTGGTCGCGTGGTCATATGCATAAGAGTGCGTGTCATGGATGTCCTGAACTGTGAGATAAATGACAAATAAAGGGAAAAAAACGTACCGATGAACCGGGTTTTATGAGCGCAGCGTTGCTCGCATGTTACATGAACGGATCCAATTGTGATATAACGTTAGCAGATGCGCGTTTTACAGCAGAACGTACGTCATGTTTTCGCAGGTATGACTCATTATGTATGCAAATGGTCATGAATGCAAGATGAATGATACTTCAAAAACAAAGATTGCTGATAGGCGACCCTTTAAAGAAACCCGACATGGCTCGAGCTGCATTTTAGGGGCGACTAAGGCCTAACGTGTTTTGCATAAATTGGGCGTCTTTTCACATAAAAGTAACTTAGGTTATCTCCAGTTTTACACAGTCAAATTGAAGATACGATCAAACGACTTGCCATGCTTCATATTAAATGAATTGTTGAAAACCCTTCTAAAAGTTTTCCGGGCATGGGGTGAGCTAAATATAAATCTAAATATAGAGAGAAAACGAAGCGGTGGAAAAAACGGTCTAGCCTTCACAAAAAAGTAAAACAACAACAAAAAAAGATGGAGTGAAGCGATGCAAAATCTTGAGTATATGTTTATTGCTATTCGTGTTGCACTCGGGGTGACGGGGAAGGTGAAATTCAAAGCAAGTCACTGCGTTGGTGGAGATTAGAATGACGTTGAAGTCTAAAAATCAGGGCACTCGTAACTTGATTTGGTATGGACAGTTTTGGTGAGCATTGCAGATGTCACCCGTTCGCGGAAATGCGGAACTTGGTTTGAGGTTAAAGTCTAAGATACAAAGCCCTCATAACTTGGTTAGGTATGGATAGTTTTGACAGGCATTCCAAATGTCTCCCGTTATGTGTTACGTGAACATTTACTGGTTTTGCTTGGTCTTAAAGCATTTCACGGTCTTACAACTTGTAGTGGGTTGATTTAAAAGGAGTATTCCGGCAGTTGCTGACCAGGCTGGCAGTAGCCAACTTCAAAGTTTTGCTCCCAAGTGACTGAGTCTGTATTTTCTGCATCATCGCCTATCAGGCACATTCGTAATATACTTTATAGCTTTCGATTCCGATGCCTCTTTCGGAACTGGATATGAAGTGAGATACGCAGTGTATTTATTTCAACCTAGCCTCCGTTAATGACCTGACCGGCAATGCAGATGACTATTACGGACAATATTTAAGAAAACATGTTCAAGGAAATGTTGGGACGTAGCCAAGGATGGGGAAAAGAGAATATAGCGTCTAAGACTGGAGGTTAACACTAGGTACTAGGTAATTTCGCGGCAATCGGGTCCAAGCTCGCAGGTTTGCAAAACATATCGAACGTAAATGCTAGCAACCAAATTTAATGTTTAACAAGCACACCAAAAACTTTTGACGTCCAGCGTCTAAGCTCAGGTTTGGTTTTTCATACTGCTTGTGACATTTCGACAGGTATTCGCCTGGTTTTGCCACACAATATTCGTACAATTTCCCGCGCACCTTCTCCACAAACTGGTTCTGACTGGCTTTGTGGGCATATACAGCTCACGTTGGTTGGCTTGTCACGAGCTGTCGTTTGCGAGTCGCCGGTGCGCCCCCAACAGCCAGCAGATTTGTTGCGCATGATGTCATCCGACTCCACCTCTAGCCTGCAAGCCCCCGGTGTGCACCTGCACATGCAGGTAAACGATGCATGTTTGGGCGCAGTGGGCACTGGACGCCATCGGCTTCTGGTAAAGCGAGATCAAATCCTCGCATCCCTATTGCACATGTTTTAATTCCGAAAGCACCAACCGACCAGCCATCGCGCGCCAGCGGTTTGCCTCACGCAAGTGATGGGCGCGAAAATATGGGGTCACCACCGGTAGTTGCCTGGGCTCCTACTCTGTATCTGCCTGGGAGCCATGACCGGATAGTCTTATCTCTTAGCTTCACCTTGGTTGATAAGACCATCCATGCCTGAGATTAGCTAAGCTTGCATGCGCAGGAAAAAACACAGGGCCTATATGCTAAGTGAAGAGATTTCGAGCCTCCAGCTTATAACTAAGCCTTTTTAACGTTACAGCGAGCCCACTCAACTTAAGCATCACGCTCATAGAAATAACAAGCGGCATTATGCAAACTAAATGGAAAAATATTTCGTGTTTCCAAAGTCTTCTTCCTAACAGACCACCAATTAGATTGGTATCTATATGTGCAGACAAAAACTAGCGGCCAATATTGACCAATTGTCTTCAGAGACCAAACATAATTGTCCAAAGCCGGCGACAAACCGACAATTGGAGTAAACAGGTTTATTGCTCTTGGACAAAGCTCCACTTCATCCAAGCTGAGTTTGTGAAATCCCACCTCAACCGTCGTGACTTCCCACAGCCGTCGCCCTAGCCGGTGCTGGTGTTATAAGCGCCATGGGAAGCGGCACTGGCAAGCAGCCAGCTGACTCTGCACTGCTGCCTTCACTGGGCGGAGAGGTCTCACCAGGCTGCGGTGTTTCAGTCGTATCGCCTCAGACCTCGCAGCGTCTCGGCCTGCTCGGACTAGCGTTGGGCTGTCGCGTCAAACAGGGCGACAAACTTCAAGATTTTGGGTGAAAAATGACATCTTAGACGGGCCATTGGGGGTTCTCAGTTTTGCAGTCTACTGGTTCTCTCGGCTTTCCACTCATGTATGTATTGGTTTTGCCGCCGAGTTCGGTCTCCATGGGGGCTTTAGCGAGGACATTTCGGACTCCATGACGCTTTTTAAGCGATTCTGACACACTCGTGACAAATGTAGTGTCATGCCGTGGATGGCATCATCACTGATTGCAGCAGCATTACGACGTTGTTTGAGAGATTTATGGCTGTATACGGACCAGCCTTTAAGGATCAACAGCTACATTACGTTTTTGGCGTTGGCAAGGCTACGTCACGTGTTCAGCCGTGTTCTTCAATGCCGTTCTGCTATCTACATTACGAGATTAACCATTGACTTGCATGTGCAACGATGCGAGGTGACAAAGCGCGACAGACGTAACCTTAGTGGGGCTCGTGTATTCTCTTAGGCGTTTGTAAAGCCATGTTCTACATAATTAGGACGGGCTGACTGATGAGGGGACAAAAGAGGAAAGACGTTACGTTTTTATAAGGGAAGTTTTGCTTAACATTTAATGGGCTTTAAGCGTAAGATACCTGTTTTGAGATGGTAATCACGTCAGCCACGTCGCGACGATATAAAATTAGACCATAGGTTTACTGCCTTTAATAGTCCCATCTCATTATTTGCTCGGAAAAAGTGGCACACGGTAAGACCGGCGTCCGCATCTTGTGGAAATCAGCGAGCTTCCGCTACCTCCATAGTCTTTGCCACTGCGGTCAGTTCATAGTGGGGTTTCAGGTTCATTTAAGGTATTTCACAATATGATGAGATTTGGACAAGAACTTAAGCAAATAATAAACAGTTTGCTGCAAAATTTATTTGAAAACCGCGCCAAGCTGATGCTGTAAATCCTGTAGCATAGCATTCATACAAAACACTGAAGTTCCTGATCACCTATTCTGTCTGGCGAGCTAACATCTCTCTCGGTATGGCATGGGACGTCATGACCCAGTCCAAACGCAAACACGGCTATATACATAGAAACGATCGACGATCTCTTGGAAATTTTTTCACTATGAATGGTCCCCTAATTTGCGTGCTTAATAAAGTAGCAAACCACGCCTGACTTAAGATAAGCTAGACTATTCGTATGCTGTATCTAGCAACACACATGCTACCTTATCTAATAATATTATGGTGAATACACAACAAACACACTTTGCTGTGCCCACCGGATGGCGTTCCGTTAAATCTAACAGAATAGCGGGTCATGAGGTGCTGCAATTAAAGTCATAATTGGTCACGCCTGCGTGTAATAGCCTCAGGGAACCACCTCATAGCATTGCTTGTATCATACGCCCCGCGACGCAGCGCACGAACAATAACC